ACACATTCTCAGAGAAGGCCATGCTTGGAGCCAGGTCCTTGTCTTATGGTATATTCTATGGCAGCCTTTGAAAATGCATAGGGAGTGGAGAGCAGGCCCATGAACCAATTGCTGCTGCATCTGGCAGTGGTTGAGTACGGAGAACCAAGGGTGGCTGCCTGGGCATCTTCACTGGAGAACCATTACTGACAGCCTAAGGCAGCTCCTGGACCTTGGCTGATACAGCTTTTATGCTGCTACATAAGTTGGGGATAGAATGTAGTTCTGTTGGCAGAGTCAGCAGAATGCTTTCCTAGTGTGCACAGAGCCCATTTGAACCCCAGCACCGCACAAACCAGACTGCAATCCTTAAAAGATAGTGGCAAAAAAATTAGGAGCTCAAGATCATCCTTGGCCACATTATCAAGTTCAAGGTCATCCTGAGCTACGTGAGATCCTCTCTCTCTCCCTCCCTCCCCTCCTTGCCCCCCCCCCCTCTCTCTCTCTCTCTCACACACACACACACACACACACACACACACACACACACCTCCAGTTAAATCTTTTCCTGCTTCCCCTGGGTACTCAGTGCTGCCTGGTATATGATTAAAAAGTCATCTTCCTGTCCCTGAGCATCGGCTGAGCCCTGGAAGAACACAGGCTGCAGAAGGACTGATGGGTCAGTCCAAAAGACAGGTCTGGGAGGAAGGAAGATGCTTCTTGGGGTAGGAGCAGCAAGCTCTAGGCACAGGATCTGGCTCTGTCGTCTTTCCAGCAGGCAAGTGACCCACCCCATCCTCCCTGGGTTGCTCACCCCATTTATTTTCGGTGGGAAAATTCAACAAAGGTTCCCAAGGCCTCACTTATCTCTTCCTTAAACCAATAGCTAGCCTTTCAGGTGGGACCCACCAGGTGGACCTCCCTCCCTGCCCCTGAAAAATCTCACAGAACCGCTGTCACCCCCTTCTCATGGCAACACCCATTTCATCGAGCACACACTCACTCCCAGCCATCTCCGCCATGGGGAGACCGACCAGCTCCGCATGGAGCCCAAGTCATGAGAAAGACTCCTGCACTATGGCTCCTTCCCAGGGCAGATCCACTGACAGCAAGGAGAGAAAGAGCCACTGGGCCTGACTTGGGCCCTTAAAACCTCAAAGCCCACCCCCCAGTGACATGCTTCCTCCAACATGGCCACACCTCCTAATACTTTTAAATAGTGTCACTACCTGGTGACCAAGTATTCAAATTGATGAGCCTATGGGGCCATTCTCATTCAACCACCATACATTCCCTGGACCCATGGGGTGGAAGGTGAAAACCAATCCCCACAAGTTGTCCTTCGAGCTCCCCATGTGGCTTGCACTCCCTCACGTGCACAGATACACACACAATAAATAAATAAACACAATGTCACAAAATGAGGTCCCTAATATCCCTGCAATGACCAGAGAAATCATGCCTGGAAGGTACTTTTGTAAAGGACACAGCTCATCATTACAAACTAGCAGGGTTTGGTGTGCTAGCAATCCCACTACTGACTAATCTGTGTGAGTCAGCCCAAACTACCTGAGCAGGGTTGGCGAATAGGCACATCAGCTGGGTCAGGTCACCTTCTAACCTTGGCTCTAGGTGTACTAGTATTGGGCTAGAGCAGAGCCTCGGGAGACTTTATCTTCAGGGACAACCTCTCAGCAAGACTAATTGACAAAGCAAGAAGTCAAATGAGAAGGTAATTTAAAAGTACCGGGCTGAGTTGGGCTATGGTGGCACATACCTTTAATCCCAGCACTCAGGAGGCAGTGGCAGGCAGATCTCTGTGAGTTTGAGGCCAGCCTGGTCTACAAGAACTAGTGTCTGCAAATATTCTGATCAGCAAGCAGAAGGGGAAACTGAGGCCCGCACAGATGAAATGGTTGCTTCAGACTCACAGCTGAGGAAGTTTTCAGCCTGCTCCTAACTTCACTTGAAACAGGCTCCCTGGTGCGGGAGAATTGTCTGTATTCTGTCAATCATGTTTTAAATAAATGCTGACTGGCCATGCAGGAAGTATAGGTGGGACAACAAGACAGGAAGTAAAGGTGGGGCAATGAGAACAGGAGAATGCTGGGAAGGAGGAAGCCCATTCCTCCCCAGTCCTGCCCAGACCACCAAAGAAGCAGGATGTGACCTACCCTGCTGAATAAGGTACTGAGCCATGTGGCTAATATAGATAAGAATAATGGGTTAATATAAGTTACAAGAGCTAATAAGAAGCCTGAGCTTATGGACCAATCAGTTTATAATTAATATAGACCTCTGCATAATTTTTCTTTGGGGACTTACTGGCTGTGGGAACTGGGCAGGACATAAACCCCAACAAGCGGCCCTCATGCTACAGGCATCCACACAAGAGCTTTGCTTGCTGAGCCATCTTACTGGCACCCCCCCCCCCCCCATGGTGCTCTTACTCTGCAAAAGTATTTGAAAACTATTGAACAATCATTCAGTAGCCCAAGCTGGACTGTGTTGAGAACTGGACTGGTCCAAAGCTTTTTCAGAGGCTTTAATGAAAGAACAGAAGCAACCTAGTTTCGTGTCCTTGCTTGGGAGTGAACTTGGCAAGGCCAGTCGGGGGCTGAGACCTGGGTCTCAAGGAGTTCATTTCAGTTCCTGGAAACTTGGCTTTCCCCCTGGAAAGACTTGGAGTTATCAGTTCTGAGACTGCTGTGTGTCAATGCTCATGAGATACAGTGTATTCTTCTTGTTCAACATTGCTAGATTAGTCTCTGGCTGATTTTGCCCATTGCTGACTCTGTCTCATTCTTCCCTGGAAATAGTATGTAAGTATTCAAGCTTGCTTGGCTTAAGACAAGGCTTGTGCAAGACGTCCTGATCACAAACTTTATTATCTTCTTTATCTTCTGTCTTTACCTTCTGATGAGGGCAGAGCAACTGCAAGGGTAGGGCACAGCATCCTCTGGTGCCAAGAAGTTTCCTCTACTCACCACCATCCCTGTCTTTCTAGAGGGAAGTCCACCCTCCAAGGCGTGAGTACTGCCACTGCCACGGTGGACTTGGGTATGTCTGAAGTTTCTCCTCCTGCCCATGAGATCTGAATCCAGTAACATAAGTAACCAAAAAGCTGGACCACTTGGTTGGTACACTGATTCCACGTGGCTTTCTGTCCCACACAGCCTTCAATTCTGTGACAGCTCCTATCCTCACCACCAACCCAGTTTTCCCTGCCCCCGCCTGCTCTGCTGAGCCAATCTGGTGCAGCAGGTGGAGACGGCACGTGCCTCAGTATCCCCTCTCAGGCCAGTGAGACTGCCCCAACCCTTCAGCTCTGCTCTGTCCGACAACCACTCACAGCCCCATCCAACTAACAGAGCTTCTGTTCCAGGGATCTCCCAATGTTTCAGCAGGTTGAAAGCAAGTGGTGAGGAGGGCCAAGGCTCTGAATTTGGTTTGGTGGCTGAATAAAAGGAGAGCCAGAGACCATAAGAGCCAGGTTAATATATAGGTGAGTAGCCTTGCATCAGAGGTCTGGATCCTGACCTCTTTGAGCTGAAGCTGACTGCTGCAAGCTGCAATATTATACAGTAATTGCTCAGCCATCTTTTCACAAGTGACTTATCAGAACCAAGGGATCTGGTAAAGGCTAAACCCAAAAGCAAGGCTGTTTTTGCATTATTGCTTTGTGAACGAGTGGTTGTCCTTTGCTGTGGATTCTTCGCTGTAGCAAACTCCCTTTCTGTTACATATTTGGGGATTAATTCCCACAGTTCAGAACTGTGTTTCCCACTGCCAGGCCTTGTTCCTCTCTCCTAGGTAAGCACAGAGATCTGCCTTCCTGCAATTATCTTTATCAGTAGGCCCGGTTTTAGGGTCCAGGCAAAGAGCATCCCATCTAAGATATCCACAGACCTCCAAGGACATAGAATTACTCCCTGCCCAAGCTGCTGCTCTGGTTTTACCCCACAACACCCACGATCAGAACGGCTGATGACAGCACAGCCCAGAACGGATCATTTAGAGGACTGGGTCTCTTCGTCGCTTAGAGCAGTAAGTCTAACTCAGACCTAGGTCCATAGAAATTACAGTGTCCAGTGCACGTACTCTCTGATCAAGAGCCATCAGCTTCCCCTAGGTTGCCTAGTTACCTCACAACCTCTGTGCACGCTGGGAGAAAAGAAGTGGCATGCTGAGTTAAACAATCCATGCCCTATTCATAATTCTACAGAAAATAAACTCCTTAGCTCTTTACTAACCACCTAAAGATGAAGGGTAGCACACTAACCTTCCCCTCTAGAATTCCCTGATGACTCAATTCCTTTCTTAACTAACTTCTAACTTCCTCCATTAAGGAGTTCACTGGACATGGACTAGCTACTCATACTGCTCTCTCTCCGTGTGTGTGTGTGTGTGTGTGTGTGTGTGTGTGTGTGTGAAAATTCTTATCTGATTTTCTATGGGGCAAAAGAATACTGGCCCTGGAACCTGCTAGGGCTGGGGAATTGCTGGTTTTAAGGGTATATATGACTGGGAGCACTAGTAACGGGTAGAACTAAGGACAAGGAGGAACGATGTAGAATTAAGGAACAATGAGGAACTAAGAACAATGTAGAACAAGGAGAACAAGTAGCGGGTGGAACCGTGAGAAACGGATTGAAGAGAGAAGAATAAAGAAACATGGACAGACGGTTGAATCCTGTTGTGAGTAGATTTCTTTCCCCTCAAATCTTTACCCTTAGATTTTTAGCCCCCTTTTAGCTATTCATGGTATCTTTAATTGAACCCTGAAAGGGAGTCTTAAAGGCAAAGACTTTTTTTTTTGTAATTATGATCAATAGGGTGGTATTTATTTAAAGGGGAAAAAACTTATAGATCACTGTCCCAGACAACAGCCCTCTGCGCAATCAGGAAGGAGTCTAGTCGCCGGAAGCAGAGCAGGAAGCAAAGAGAGACTTTTTTTTAAATATTTATTTATTTATTATGCATACAATATTCTGTCTGTGTGTATGTCTGCAGGCCAGAAGAGGGCACCAGACCTCATTACAGATGGTTGTGAGCCACCATGTGGTTGCCGGGAATTGAACTCAGGACCTTTGGAAGAGCAGGCAATGCTCTTAACTACTGAGCCATCTCTCCAGCCCAAGGCAAAGACCTTTTAAGGCTCCCTAAAGCTGACCCTAATCCAAGGCCCATCAGGTGCAGTTCCAGAAACTTGCATATGAAGAATGATCCTGCTGAGCCTTTCCAGATCTGCCACCCTCCACTCCAGCCGCCACTCTTTCCAGATCCGCCACCCTCCATCCCAGCTGCCACTCTTCCCTCACAGAATAAAGCCAAGGGAGCAGATTCCCAGGAAACACCTGCTGCAGCTTTCCCCAGAAGCCAGGACATGAGCTGTTCAAGGGCAAAGCTCCCTGGGACAGGAACATATTCTTAAAAGCACAAACTTGCCATATAGATCTGGCTGCCCTAGAACTTTCCATGTAGACCAGGCTGATTTAGAACTCACAGAGACCTGTCTGTCTCTTCCTAAATGCTGGAATTAAAGGCATGTGCTGCCACATTCAGCTGGGACAAGGAACTTTTTAAAAATATTTATTTTCATTATTCTATATTATAGGTAGGCATGTGTGTCTGTATGTGTATACTGCCCACAGAGGCTAGAGGTGTCAGAACCCCTACAGCTAGAGTCATACATGGTTGTGAGCCACCTGACTTGGGTACTTGGAACTAATCTTGGGTCCTCTGGAAGACCCAAGAGCAAGAGTTCTTAATTACTGTGCCATCTTGTCCCAGCCGGTCCCAGGACGAGAGTCTTCAAGCCAGCCGCAGCCTGGCTATTGTGAGGGGTTCACAGCACAACCTTCCCACCGCTGGGACAGGCCCTCAATTGTGTTCCGCAGCATCTGCATCCAGTCATCCCCTCTCCGCATCGGGATGCAGCGCGTCTCCTTGTGCTCCAAGGCTAGGATCTCTGCAGGAGTCTGCGGAGTCAGTCCAGCAGCCTTGACTGCTTCTGGGAATTTAGCTGCAGAGGCAGAGGCCAGGCAGCACCGGGAGATGGTACTGAAGATGGGACAGGACAGGAGAGAACAGGTAGAATGATGGGGAAGGAGAAGATGGAGGAAGGAGGACCAGGGGAATGGTTAGGGGCGGGGGACAAGACAGAGACATGATTAGTACCTTGAACTTACCTGGATAAGCCTGCAAAGTTTCCTGATGAAGACCCAGCTCAGGCATCACCTCCCCTCATGACCTTGGATATAGTTCACACCTCTTCTAAGTGCAGTTGTAGTTTGGGGCACAGAACCCAATGCTCACCAATATCACTATCCTTAGTTTTGCCAAGCCCTGCTTAGAGAAGAGCTATGTCCCAGTGCCCCAGATCTCACTGCTGGTACCTGGACTGCCTATTGTTAGTCTGCTGGTAATGGTAGTTCACCGCTGTGGCTGAGTGGGGGCACAGCAGGTACTGGTTCTCCTTCCAGCAGCGGCCCATGGTCTGGGTGATGGCTTCATCAGACACCGACCCAGATGTCACTGCCTGGGAAAGCTGAAAGGTCAGAAGACAGGGGTGAATGTCAGGACTGGTGAATCACAGAAGGACTAAAAACCTCACTGTATCCACAGCCAGCACCAGGACTCAGACCAAACCCTGCTGTATCCACAGCCAGCACCAGGACTCAGACCAAACCCTGCTGTATCCACAGCCACACCGGCACCAGGACTCAGATGAATGCTACAGACTCAATACTGACCCGCCTCAGAGTAGAATCAGTTTCCGAGTTTTGAGCCAATTACAATTCGTTTGGTTTTTTTTTTTTTGAGACTGGGTTTCTCTGTAGCTTTGGAGACTGTCCTGGAACTAACTCTTGTAGACCATGCTGGCCCTGAACTGACAGATTTGCCTGCCTCTGCCTCCCAAATGCTGGGATTAAAGGACTGAGCAACCATCACCAGGCTCAATTATAGTTTTGAGCTTCTTAGCAGAAGGATTTGTAGAAGTTCTGGGTACACTTCAATGTTTTTAGATCATAAATCAAACTAGCACATAGTCTTGTTCTACAGCCGAATACAACGCAAGTCACGGGTGTTCAAATTGCCCATGGTGTGAGAGCTACCCGGTCAGTTCCCACCCTGCTTAGGAGCCCTTCCCTAGAAATCCTCCTAGTACTTACAGGCAGAGGAAAGGTTCCTTCTCAGCCTCCCTGAGCATTCAGAATGCCAGATAATTTCCTGAAGATGCTCTGTATTCTTACAACATAGCAAACACTATATGCGTACTCAGTGTCATCAGAGACCAAGTGGTCCATAGATTGTTTATATAGATATTTCCTGATTAGGGTCAGAAATGGCAACCAATATTTTTTTCCTCCTCATCCTCCTCCTCATCTTCTTCCTTTTTCTACTTCTGAGGATTGAATGCAGGACCTAATGCATACTAAGTATGTGCTCTACCACTTACATACATCACTTAGTGTGACAGCTGCATTTTCTCTTCATATTCCCAGCACCTAACCTAGTTCTTGAACCATAGCAGACAGATTGGATGGATGGATGGATGGGTGGGTGGGTGGATGGGTGGATGGATGGGTGGATGGATGGATGGATGGATGGGTGGGTGGATGTATGGGTGGATGGATGGATGGATGGATGGATGGGTGGGTGGATGGATGGATGGATAAATGCCCTTCCAGCAAATACAGTGTCCTCTGAGTACAGCCAGGGAGAAAATGAAGAAACAGAGGATATGATGATCAGTGTTAATGGAGGATCTCACTTACATAAGGAGAAGGAATATTGATTCCATGGCACAAACCATGGGCCAAACAAACTAATGTTTGGCTAAGCCAAAAGCAGCATAGGGCTGGAGAGATGGCTTAGTTATCTCTTGCAGAGAACCCAAATTTGGTTCTCAGCACCCACATGGTGGCTCACAACCATCCTGTTCCAGGGGATCTGATGCCCTCTTCTGGCCTCCACAGGCACTACATGCATAAGGTACACATACAATACACACAGGTAAACATTCATAAACATTAAATAAAAATAATGGAAAGTTTTTAAAGCAGTATAGATTCTAAAAGAGGGAAGTCCCACTTTAGTCTTCAAGGGCACAACTCAGGCCAGAAAACTATACCCAGTTTTGAGAAGAACCCTTCAGGAGGGACACTAACAAGAACAACTATGTCATGTAAAGGACTAAGTTAAAGGGAACTGGGAAGATCAAGTTGGCGAATGAGGATTCTCTTAAAGTAGAGGGCACTGAAGTAAAATCAGACTGTGCAATCTAGATGGAGCACATCCTAGAGCTTTGTGATGATGAGAGCTGCAGCGAGGTAGCTGTCCCAGTCACCTGGGGTGGGGGGTGCAGAGCCAGCAGGGCCACCCAGTGGGAATGAGGTACAGAAGTTTAAGGCATCACAGGCTGCATTCAAATAAAAGCAATGCTTTCTAACTAGTTCCCTAAAATAAATAAAACGTATTTATTAACTAAACAGAGTCTCTCCTCCTGCAGCAGAGAGACAGAGACAAAGTGATGAAGGAGAATCATCTGTCTATGTGTTACTTTCATTGGTTAATAAAGAAACTGCCTTGGCCCTTTGATAGGATAGAAAATTAGGTAGGCGGGGAAGACAGAACAGAATGCTGGGAGGAAGAAGGCAGTGAGGCAGACGCAATGAACCTCCGGCCCAAGATGGATGTAGGTTAGAATCTTCTCAGTAAGCCACCACCTCGTGGTGCCACACACATTAATAGAAATGGGTTAATCAAGATGTGAGAGTTAGCCAGTAAGAGGCTAGAGCTAATGGGCCAGGCAGTGTTTAAATGAATACAATTTGTGGGTTGTTATTATGGGTGTAAAGCTAGCCATGCAGGAGCCAGGCGGGACAAAAAGCAGGCCTGCCCGAAGCGCCTCACTACAACAAAGGAGAGAGACAAGGGCCAGAAAGAGCTATAGTCTCTGTCCATACCTGAAGGGCAGAATGACTTTGTCCTTGTTGTACAGGTATTGCTATTATTGCAAATTAACAACACTAATAAATAAAAATGGAACTAGTAACTGCATGGAGTTATGTATTCCCAGCAGTCTGGAAAGTGCCTCCCTTGTATCTAATCACCCAAGCTCACAGCAATCTTAGGAGACAGGCTTTCTTATTATCCCTGCTCTCCAGATGAGGAAACTGAGGGGCCACATTTATAAAGCTGGCTTAGTGTTCACAACTCTCCTCATCCAATCAGTGCCAGCTGTGAAGTTCCTGGATCCCCCTCCCTTGTGCAGACTTCCAACCCCAAATCTACCCAGTGGCTGCATCCTTCCCTTTCTCCGTGGGATGTCATAGGAGGAACAGCGTCTCCGTGCTTACAGATAAGCACTCGGGGAACCTAGGAGGTTTAGCACACAGGGTTTCTCTTTTGAGGGAAGAAATGTAATAACCACTATCTGTCCACCTAGAAGGCTGGATGTGGATGTGTTTACTAGCCTGGTGACCTTTGCTCTGTGCACCGGATTATCCCCCAGGCCCTTATCAGTAAATCTATAGAATCAATCTTTACAGACCTTACAAAGAGTTGCGATGTAGTAGTGCCTGATCTGTATTTAGCTTATTTGGTTCTCCAAGGAGATCTATGTATACTTTATTGTGTACACAGGACTGAATTAATCATCAAAAGAAAAGAATAATGTTCACCACATTGTGCTGTGCTTACGCATGCCTGAAATAAACCACTAGAGGCCAGACACCAGACATTTGAATCAACACTGTCTACCGAGTCTTGTTGAACTCAGCTGCCATCTTGCTTTGGTCAGATTGTTACTCTGCTGGCTATGGAAGTTGCAGAGACCCACCCCCACCGCATATGGCCAGTGACCAACCTTGCTATGTAGCTCCTTGGGTAGGTGCACACTTTGGGTTCTTTCAAACTGCACCATGAGGGCTCTTGTTGCCTGGCTGTCAAAGCCAGAGAGCAGCCAGAAGATTCTCTCCATGTTGTACGGCACCTGAGTGGAGAGACAGCGTCCCAGCACCCTCGTTTCAACCCTATCCAAGTCCCGCCCACCCCCACCCCCCAGCAGCTGCTCTTCTCCCCACAGGCCCACCTGAATGTCCATGGCGGATGCCAGGGTTGGCTTGACAACCTCACCCAGAGAGAAGTCTCCCTTCTGGACAGTCCTGTGGATGATGTCATTGCTGTTTACTGCCACAACCAGGCGGATAGGCAGGCCCATCTTCTGAGCAATGCACCCAGCTTGGGACAAGACAGGAAGACAAAAGGATTTTAGGACAAAAGTAAAGAATTTTTACTTTAAACCAAGCTTAATAAAAGCAGACAAACTCTTGTGCTGTTTGAAGATGAGAACAGAGAGAGACGGGAAGAGCCACAGGAGCAGAGAGAGAGATAAGGAGGAGGGCAACTGTGCCCTGCCCACTGCGGAAGAGGAGACAAATCCTACCAAACTGCAGAGCCCAGGTCTTTGCCTTCCACCTTGCTTTAGGGAGGGTAGCTAACTGTTCACTGCTGACACGCCAGGCTAGTGACACAGCTTCTGGGGCTTCTGTCTCTGTCATCTTGCTGTGGGAGCACAGAGATTACAGATATGTGCTACCACGTCCAGTTTTATGTCTAAAGATCCAAACTCAGACTTGTGTGGCAAACACTTCACCTACTGATTCCTGATGTGGGAGTGATTTCTTTCTAATCTGTTGCTTTCATTGGTTAATTAATAAAGAAACTGCCTAGGCCCATTTGATAGGCCAACCCTTAGATAGGTGGAGTAAACAGAACAGAATGCTGGGAGAAAGAAGCTGAATCAGGTGGTCGCCATGATTCTCCCATTCCAGACAGACGCAGGTTAAGATCTTCCCTGGTAAGCCACCTCGTGGGCTACACAGATTATTAGAAATGGGTTAGATCAATATGTAAGAGCTAGCCAATAAGAGGCTGGAACTAATGGGCCAGGCAGTGTTTAAAAGAATACAGTTTAGCAGGGCGGTGGTGGCGCACGCCTTTAATCCCAGCACTCGGGAGGCAGAGGCAGGTGGATCTCTGTGAGTTTGAGACCAGCCTGGTCTATAAGAGCTAGTTCCAGGACAGGCTCCAAAACCACAGAGAAACCCTGTCTCGAAAAAACCAAAAAAAAAAAAAAAAAAAAGAATACAGTTTCTGTGTAATTATTTCGGGTAAAGCTAGCCAGGTGGCGGGACACAGCCTGCCGCTCCTATTTCAACAAATTCCATCTCCAGGCCCTTACTTTTTGGAGGGCAGTGGGAATATTCATCACTATCACCCTAAATTGTGTAAAGCCCATTCATACTCTTGTGTCACTTGATCCTCACGGAAACTTTACAGTGCCCTTCAATGATGAGGGAAAAAGGATGCTCAGGAGCGCCCAAAGACTTGATCAAATGGGTCCTTAGGAAAAATGCCATATGGGAATGTCCTCTCTGGGTATTGCCCATGCTTTAGTTTGTGCCAAGTGCTATGAAGGGCACAGCTATAGGTGGCATCACTAGCTTGAAGCGAAGCACGCTGGGTAGTGGGGAAGCCAGCCGTCCTTGCCAGCTGCCGGCCCACTATCATCTCTGTCTTCCTTTAAGAAGCCAAGGAGTCTCCTAACCACCATGATGCTTTTGTTATTTCACCTAATTTACCCTGATGCCTAGAGAAGCAATGCAATAGACAGAGCTAACACCACCGACTTCTCAAGAGAAGGCAAGGATGTGGACTCCAGTCTACCTGGGCTGTCAGCCTAGCTCCACTACCAACCAGCTGTGTAAATGGGAAGCTAACGTCTGTGTCCAGTTCCTCATTCTAAAACGGTAAGAATAATGCAGATGGAAGTTGAGTGCAGACTCAACTGACCAGGAATCAAAACTATCCAAAGTAGGCTGTGGTGATACATCCTATAATCCCAACATTTGGGAAGCTGAGGCAGGAGGATGGAGACTTCCCAGGCCAGCCCGGGCTATACTGAGTTCAAAGGCAGCCTGAGTTACATAGTGAGAACCTATCTCAAGAAAAAATAATTGCACCTGTATTAAACATGTTCAGACTCTGTCTTGCAAATACTCCTTACAGCGCAATGGCCATTTAGGGTAAATTAGATGAAATAACAAAAGCATCATGGTGGTTAGATAGCGCCTGCATACTGTATGCCATTTTACATCATCCAGAGGTGGTTTAAAGTACTCAGCTGCACATATGTGCATGTAGGTCATATGCAAACACCATGCCATTTTACAGAAGGGATTTTGGTACCCGCAGGGTCCTAGAACCTACTGTCCACGCACATCAGGAGACAGCCATGGTTTCTAGTCCCATGAAAAGCAGTTAGTACAGCAGCACCTGTTGCACAGTTAATGCTTGAGAATGTTCCTTAGTGTTCGGTGCCAGGCAGCTGGACAGCACTGTCTCTGGACAAAGTTCACACGCGCCCAACAGCCATGCTCGCTCCTCACAGGTGGCTCTGAGCACGTGATCAGCCAGCCTTTCACAGCTGAGTAACTCTCTAATGCTCAGCTAGTAAAGGGCAGAGCCAAGGCCAGACCTCCTGATGCCATGGCCCCAGGGTAATGAGAACACACTGTGCTATGGCCCAAAGCAGGTGTGCCTCAACATGCAGTGGGCAGAGTAAGAAGTGAAGTGCAAATTTGGGGAAAGGACACCGAGCTGTTTGTGGCTGAGCCGTGACTTGTCTACTATCTACTGTGTAAGTAAGCACAGGTTAGGCTGCTGAAATTCCCCAGGTTGAATCCTCAATCTCCTCCCACTGCAGTACCCTAGACTGTTCTGTTCCCATCCTCTGGAGCTGGAAGAAACCTAGGGCATCCCATGTGGTTTTCTGTCCTCTTTAGAATAAAAACACAACCTTCTTTTGCTCCACATTTGTAGGCAAAAGACAGCTTGAAAGGCTAGGTGCTTTCTAGAAAGTCTGTTTGCATCCCTGGGTCTCCTTACCTGCAAGGTTACCCCCAGCTCCTGTTGGCACAACCACCTCCACAGGGGGTAGGGGGTGCGTGTCCAAGGAGGGCGCACACTGGAAATAAGCAAAGAAGTGGTGTGCCATCTGCACCAGGACCCGAGACCAGTTGATGGAGTTCAAGCTCATCAGGTTGTGCCTCTGGACAAAAGGCACATCAGCAAACACGGCCTTGATGGGTTCATCGAGTTCATCACTGTTTCCTTCCACTGCCAGGGAGAGAGAAGAAGGCAGCTCTCAGGAGCAGCAGGAGGCCTGGGCAGTCACACTGGGCTCCACCAAGGCCTTCCCGGGCTGGGCCCATCCTCTCCCTTCTGACCCAGACTTTGCTTCCTTCACTTTCACTTGGCTTGGCCTGGCTTCCCAGGCTCTGTATAAGCTCCTCGGGGATAGAATCCAGGCCACTTTTTCTAGTGACTCTGAGCATTTGTCCTCACTTGAGAGAAGAGAAAATGTGGCCAGAACTATTTCCAATGGTCTTGCATTCTATAAAATAAGATATTCTAAAATCAGCCTTCTGGGATATTGGGAAAAGAATTCCCCTTGTATTCCAAGCCTTTACTATTCCATGAAGAGTATGTCCTTCACTCTTCTGGAAAGGAGGAGGGGGTTTACTCAACAGAAAGATGTGAACCCTACTGGGGCTGGGGGGAAATGGTTACGTCTCTCCTGTGGGTGAAGTGTGGGTGGCCTGATCCCTGCTGCTATGTGCTAGGTAAGCTTGCTTGGGCAGAACTTCCCTGAAGCTGTGCACATTGGTTTAATTTATGGGGTGAATTATTGGGCAAATTTTCCACCAGTCTAACATATCAATACCCCAATCAAGCTGCCTCAGTAATTGCACCAGGGTCAACCCTTACCTGATATCTGTATCTAATTCTCCACTTGGATCCATATCTCAAGGTGGGGTGTATATATGTGTACATGTAAGGGTTACTGGGGACAGTACCAGGACAGCCACTTGGGCTGTAAACCCTTCTCTCAACATCACTGTAGAGCAGCAATGAAGATGGGGACTTCTGTAAGTCCACACGTACACACCAAGCAGCCCAGTCCAGTAGTGGTGGCCCATTGCTTTGCTAAAGCCGAGCCAATTTGATCCCATGGGGTCAGGAGTCGGATCCAAGATGGACATGTGAGATGTTCAGGTCACTGAGACTCAGAAGGACATTTACTGGGGAGCTAGAGAAACCACCCCTGCTTTTAAGGAAGATCCAGAGGAAAAGGGAGACTTGGTTACCTCAAGTCTCCATTCTGTGACCTCAAGAGGAAGGAACCTAGGATTGGGGAGGGCAGAGCAGAGACTGGGAAGTACTGGGTTCCTGATGGTAATGCTGAGTCTGAGAATCAACCAAGTGAGAGCCTACTTCACCCCTGGGCATTGCAGTTACAGAAGCTGGGAACTGTTCTTCCAGACAGACTGAGTTGGATTTTCTGTTACTTCCAGTTTAAAAAAATATATACTATAATCCATGAACATCTACTGTCTACTAAGTACTTGGTGCTTAGGAATCACACAATGCACATGGAAATTATCACCTTTGTAAACCCAGGGTTGGGTAACAGACTTGCTGTGTGTCTTTGTTACTCTTCTATTGCTGTTACAAGATACTATGACCAATGCAACTTGTAGAAGAAAGACATTTGGGGTCTTACAGTTTTAGAGGGCTAGAGTCCATTACCACTATGGCTATAGCACTGGGGGCAGGCATGGCACTGGAGCGGTAGCTGAGAGCTTACATCCTTGTCCATAAGCACGAGGCAGAGAGAGAGAGAGAGAGAGAGAGAGAGAGAGAGAGAGAGAGAGAGACTGCTAATTGGGAATGGCTGTGGGCTTTGCCCACTCCAGTGACAACTCTATCAAGGTCACACCTAATCCTCCCAAGCAATTTTACCAACCAAGGACCAAGCGCTCAAATATACAGGGGCCATTCTCATTCAAACCACCACATTCCACTCCCTGGCCCCCATGGGCTTGTGGCCATATCATAAAGCAAAAGGCATTTAGTGAAACTTCAAAAGTCCCCACAATCTATCAGTCTCAAGACTGTTGAAAAATCCAAAGCCCAACTCTCTTCTGAGACTCAGGCACTCTCTTCATTGTAAGACTCTGTAAACTAAAAAAAAAAAAAAAAAAAAAAAAATATGTATTTCCAAAATACTATATACCACATAAGCATGACAGACTGAGTTTGATCTCAGGTGTGCATTCAAAGGCAGAAGAAAAGAAATGACTCCACAAAGCTGTCTTCTGACCTTCATGTGGCCCCTGTGTTGTGTACATCCAGTCATGATGACAATGAATTAGTAAAGTTTAAACTGGGTGTCCATGAATCCATCCCCACTCCTTGAGTTCACAAAGGGAAAACACGTCTTTCTCGTTACCCCTGAATCTACACACATCCTCTTAACAGCCAAGCCAGACGCCTCAAAGAAGGAGAGAACATGGGCAGCATTGCTTATGAACGAGCTTGATGTCTTTAAAGCCTGCAGAACTATCTCCTCGACACACAGAACAGAAATACCTGAGCTCTGATAATCATGGCATGCTCCGCTTATTATCAACCACACAGCTGCCACTATTTCACAGGTGGGCAATGCTCTCCACTTCCCACGTGAAGATTTCATCTGTGGCAGTTCTCTGCTTTCATGCTAGGAAAAGGCAGTCCTAGACCTATGACTAGCAAACTTGGCATGTGGAAAACAACAGGGGCCCTCAGGAGCCCAAACATTCTTCATCAAAGTCTCACAATGACCATAGGAAAAATTCAGCCAGGTATGGGCAATCACCAAGGCCAGTGTGCAGGAGTTTGCCAACAATGGATTAGCCAAACCATGGACTTTACACTGGAACGCACATGTGCTTGCCAAAGAAAAGAGCAGAGGGCCTTTTCCTCTGCGCTGCTGCAGCTAGACAGAGCACTCGTGCTTCTCTCATGGGAGGACTTCTTCCCAGGGTCTGGGCTCCTTGTCAACATTGCTATATTAACGTCAGATCATCCTCTATGGGGTTTGTCTTAGTTACTACTCTATTGCTGTGAAGAGACACCATGGCCAAGGCAATTACAAAAGGAAGTCTTTAATTGGGGACTTGTTTATATTTCAGAGGATTAGTTCTAGATCATCATGGCAGGAAACAGCAGCAAGCAAGCAGGCATGGGGTTGGAGCAATGACTGAGTTTACATTTGATTCACTGGCAGAAGTGAGAGAGAGAGAGAGAGAGAGAGAGAGAGAGAGAGAGAGAGAGAGATTGGGCACCCACCTGACCTAAACTTTTGAAACCTCAAAACCTATCCCCAGTGACGCACCTCCAACAAAGGGAACCCTCCTCCAACAGAACTACAGCTCCTAATCCTTCCCAAACAGCTCTACTAACTGGGGACCAAGCATTCAAACATATGAGCTTATGGGGGCCATTTTCACTGAGAACACCACAGGACTATACCAGGACCCAGGCAAGCTGTAGAAGGAATTCTATTTTTATTTATTTTTTTTAAATTTATTTTATCTTATGTGCTTGGGTGTTTTGCCTGCATGTATGTCTGTGTACCATATGCATACAGTGCCCACGCAGGTTCTAGGGGGCATCAGATCCCACTGGAACTGCTGTTATAGATAGTGGTGAGCTGCATGTGGGTGCTGGGACTTGAACCCTGTCCTCTAGAAGAGTAGCCAGTGCTCTTAACCCCTCAGCCATCTCTGTCATTAATGTCATTATTGATTGATTGATTATTACAACATTTCCTGTGTATCAAGTGTATCAAGTTCCAGGCTGCATGCATGGTCAGAGTGTGTAAAACCCCAACCAAGACCTCTAAAGCTACCATTCCCATGAAAGTTAAGCTCTTCATCATATGACCAACTATAGCAGAACTGGTAGCAGGTAGCACCGAGCAGCTTCATATTTTAATATTTGGCTCTGTTTACATGCATGACCTAGGAGTCTGTCCCCTAAGGAAGGGTATGAACTGCCAAAATGCACTGACATGGTCTCTCAACTATGAAATATGTTTGTGCCCACAACACTTTAGTGCCCAAAACTAAGCAAGTGCTTGGCTTAAGTTATGGTTCTACATGGCTGCCTACATGTAGACCTGCACAGAGGCAGCCCTGACAGATACCTGAACCAGCAGCAACCGTTCAACACAGTGCAAGTTTAAAGCCATGTGCCAGCTAGTGTGGAAAACTGTGAAGCCCAGAACCTTCCCAAAGCTAAGCCAAGGCACCTCCATACACAGCTAATCCCACCTATGAAAACAGCCAGTAAAGCCAGGACCGCTCAACCCCTGCACCTACCTCCAAACACATGGACATTCTCCATCAGCACTGTTGTCATCTGGAGCTCCTGAATCTTTGTGCAAAGGCCTTTGGGCAATAGAACAATGATGTCCATATTCTTGCATCCCTGAACACTCTCAATGGAAGCACTTCCCGTGTCCCCAGAAGTTCCTAGAAAGGAGACCGACCCCTCCCTTTAGAACAAGGGGAATGGATAAAGAATGAAATTGACCTTTAAATATTGGTGCCCAATGCAGCAACAAATGGTTTTCAAATACTTGAAAGACAGGTGCTTAGTACTTAGCCCAGGGTCCTTAAATATGCTAATAAAATTCAGGACATTAACAAGTATTCTGTATACCTAAAATTATTATGAGAAGTATCCACATCCTTTAGCAGACTGACAAAGGGAACTATGATACCTAATCTTGTCGACTTGATGGTGTTTAGAATCACCATGGAAACATACATGTGGTCGTGTCTATAAGGGCATTTCCAGAAAGGTTAGACTGAAAAGGGAAGGCCAACCCTGAACGTAGGCAGAACCACTCTATGAGCTATGGTCCTGGACAAAATAAAGCCAAGAAAGAAAGATGAGCACCAGCATCCATACTACTTGCTGCTAGACTGCTGAGACAATGTAACAGATGCCTCAAGCCCCTGCCACCACGCCTTCCCTGCCATGTGAACCACACTCTCAAACCCAACTGTGAGCAGCAAACCTTCCTCCCTTAAGTGGCTTCTGTCAGGTATGTTGTCACAGCAATGAGAAAATTAACCAATGCAGAATCTGTGGCATAAAAATAGGCTAGAAACCCTCTAAAAGCTGGCTCTCAACCTTCCGAAGGTTGAGACCCTTTAATACAGTTCCTCATATTGTGGTGACCCTCAACCATAAAATTATTTTCATTGCTACTTTATAACTATAATTTTGCTACTGTTATGAATCACAATGTAAATATCTGTGTTTTCTGAGGGTCCTAGGGAACCCCTGTGAAAGGGTCGTCATCCAACCCCAAAAGGAACATGGCCACACAGGCTGAGAACTGCTGATCCACAAGAACTGATAGCATAAGCCTTAAGAGGCTCAATCCTGTGCATGGGCATACTTCAGCTGGGGTGCTAAAGGACCCTGCCCCTCCCCACACCCACCTACAACAATGGTGACATGCTTCTTCCTCTTCTGCAGGAAGTACTGCAGGAACTGAGCTGTGCAGGATAGGGACAGGTCCTTAAAGGCATATGTGGCCCCATGCCACAGCTCCAATATGTTCAGCCCATTCTTCAGCCTGCACAGATGGACCACATCTTTGTGGCGGAATCGGTTGAAAGCTTGGTCAATCAGATCTGTGAGAGTAGAGATTGGACAGCAGGTGAAGGCATTATCTCTTCAAGTTATCTTTCTGCCTCTATAAATTTTTTAACTCTCATTGCCAGCTAAAAAGTCCAGAAAATCTGATCTTAAATGACATTTTTAGGAACAATTGTAAAGGTCTAGAAAAATCTGGGGGACATGTATTAAGCTGCCCATATATTCCTCAAATACCCCAGAGACTAGAACTGGCTCTAGAAAACATCTAGTTTTCATTTTGCATACTTTTTAATTTAATCTTTGCTGTGGAAGCACATTCTGCTCCTTCAGCCAATAGCCTTTAAGATACCAGCCCACTTAGGCGTGGTCTCATACTGTAAAAGCAGCAGTAACTGTGTGCCTGCTCCCTTGCTTCCAGCTCCCTCTTCCGGCTGATAGACTCTGTTCCTGTTCGTGCTGTTCATGCAGAGGACTGTTGTCTAGGACAGTGATCTGTAAGTTTAACCCTTTTATTATTCATAATTCTGAACTGGTGTGGGATTGTTTTGTGAGTTACACCATCAAATCTTTTTATTGTATTTTTATTTATCTTATATGAATGGGTAAAAACCTGCATGTATGTACCATGTGTGTGCAGTGCCTGAAGAGGCCAGAAGAGGGAGTCAGATTCCCTGGAGCTAGAGTCACAGATGGTTATGAGCCAGCATGTGGATCATGGGAACTGAATCCAGGTTCTCTGGAAGAGCAGCCAGTGCCTTTAACTATTGAGCCGTCTTCCCAGCTTATTTGAGTCTTTATAAGCATGTACTTTAATAGAAGATCAAATCGTAGATCAAATAAGCAGTTTCAGCCTCCTAATTTTCTTCCCTAAAGATAGAAGTGTTGTTAGCTTGTTCTCTGCACTAAATCTCATGTCTGTGGTGCCAGGACTTGGGCATAGCTGATATACAAACTTAGTCACAGTCTAGAACATCTGTTGTGGACCACACCTGAGATCTTATTAAAATGTGGACTCTAGGTGAACGTGTCTGAGCTGACTTTGAAATGTCTAACCCTGCCCAGGGGACATCATCACTGTTGGTTATGTGCAGTCCTTCCTCCTCCCAAACTACAAGACCTACCATGACTTTTGTCAACTTGACACAAGCCTAGACACATCTGGGAAAAGAGAATATCAACTGTGGTATTGCCTCTGTCAGACCGGCTGGTAGGAAAGTCTGAGGGGATTTTCTTGTTTCATGACTGATGTGGGAGGTGCTCAGCTCTCTGGAGGTGGTGTCACCCCTGCGCAGGTGGTTCAGGCGTGTATAAGAAGGAAGGATAAACAAGCCATGGAGAACAAGCAGTATTTTTCCACGTCTTCTACTTCAGTTCCTGCCCTTGACTTCCCTCAGTAATAGGGCATGACCAGAGAGTTGTATGTTGAAAGAAACCTTTTCCTCCCCAAATTGCTTTGGTCATGATGTTTTACCACATCAACAGAAATGCTGACTAAAATATTACCCCATGGATTTTCATCTTGTCAAGTGTCACCTGAGAACCAACAGCTGTAGTCAGACATAGGCACTTAATAGAAAGGCAGGATCCTTACACCCAACCCTGTGATTTCTGAATGGCTTCTGTGGACTCATTTGTTTGAATGCTTGGTCCACACAAGGTGGAACTGTTTGGGAAGGATTAGTTCACTGGGGTGAACTGGGTGGACTTTGAGGTTCCAAAAGCCCATATCATCCTCAGTTAGCTCTCTCTGCCTCATGCTTGTAGATCAAGATGAGCTACTGAGCTACTGCTTCGGCACCATGCCTGCAGCCATGCTCCCTACCATGATGATCATGAACTCTAACCATCCCAAGCTGTAAGTCCCAAATAAACTCTTTTTTCTCTAAGTTGCCTTGATGGTGACTCATCACAGCATAGCAAAATAACTAAGACATATCCAAATCTACTGAATTAGAGTCTGCTTTTAAAATAGAGCTCCTTGAGGGAAATTAATTGCACATTCCAGCTTGAGACAACCTGTTCCAGGTCACTCAACAAGACAAAATAGTCATCTAGGCGTCTGGATGAACGAGAGAGACATTCATCAACACTCACCGTTTAGGTCATCTCTTGGAATGAGCTCTAGGCCAATGAAGAGGGCACACAGCTCCTTCACCAGGCTGCGATAGGAAAGCGTGCTCCAGCGACGCAGGGTCTCTCTGTCCAGCTGTGGGAGCTCCTCTGGCACATAGAGGCCCCCATCTGGTGCATAGCCAGAGAAGAGGGCTCCCTCAAAGTTGACCCGTGGGGCCATTCCCCGGGTGCTGGTGTACCACATGATCCTGGAAGCCTGCAGAGGAAGAGTCCCAGAGGTGGCTGGTATTCAAGCTCCTGGCACCCCACAGGATGAACCTGAGTATACACAGCCCTCTGGCCTAATGTATGAGCCATCACTCACTGGGATATGCATCGCAGACATAGCTTTGGCAGCCTTAATCTGAATCTCATCTCAGTTTTGTCAAGTCTTGTGTAAATTATGATCCTTCTGATCAAAACAGGCAACTCCACTGAGCCCACTACCTCCAGGTGTAAGTACTGAAGCATGCTGGGAAAAAGAGAACCACAACCCTTACCAGTGACCAAGGAAACCTTGGAATGGAGAAAGATCATAGCAATAGCAGGTAGCTGCCATTTTCGACAGGCTTCTTAGTAGGGAAAAGACCAGAATATCTGATTGGCAAAGCTGGTGTGGATGTGGGGAAAGGGTGACAGTTATTCACTGCTGGTGGAAGTGCAAGCCTTTGCCACCACTATAGAAGCTGGTATGGCAATTCCTCAAAAAGCTAGAAATGAATCTACCATATGAGTGTCCCAAAGGAGGCTCGATCCATTACAAAGATACTGGCTCATCCGTGATCATTGCTACTCTATTTACAACCTACATGAATGGGTAATTGGGAGTCAGTTTTCGTCAGGGATGCAGGTTCTGAGAGGCTACCCATGCTCCAGTAGATGCTCCCAGACCTACGTACTAAATGGACCTGTGGGGCTTTTGTTTGTTTTTGTTTTTTAAAGGAGGGAGAGCACGTGAAATTGGAAGGGAAAAGTGGTGGGGAGGAACCAGAGGGGGAAGGAATGGGACAGATATTTGATCAAAACATGTTATAAGCATGTATGAATACTAAACAAAATACATGTTTTTTTTTAAAATTGCAAGTCCCATGTCCCAGGAGACCCTCAATCCTAGGCAAATTAGGAAAGTTAGGCATTATTACCAATAACCTGTGGCCTACCTCAGAGCCTAATTCTAGAAGGCTGCAGCATAGCTTGAATACTGCCTTTGAAACTCTCTAGCCATGGCTAATTGGCTCTGGCTCCTGGCATGGATTCAGGGCCTTCTGTTCCTTAGAATGGGACAGAGATCACAACAGAATTTAGGGGTTCCCATGTTAAAGCCCCACAGTAACTAGGGTGATCAGTTTGACTACACATAACTCCCAATACCACTTCAGCATGTCCACCCACCTGTCACGAGAAGGGGAGATCTGGTATTGACCTGGAAGAATTCCGTTTTTCTCTTCCTGACCCTGGAGATGGACCCCCTGGTTTTCTGCCATTTCTCTGCCACTGAGCTCCACCTCTAGCCCCGAAGTTGTGGTTTTCTGCTTCAGGTCTCTGACACCTGTGGGTCCACCGTGAGTTCTACATCAGCTGCCATGTGCCACTCTCGCTGCCTACGAATGCATGTGCATTCAGGTGTGCTAATTATCTACTAGGCAAGTCCGACCTTCAGACATTGCAACACGACTTGGCTATCTACAAAGTTCAAGCCTCAGAATGGTGCCATCAGATTAGAAGGGTAAGGGAATAAATAAAATCATGTAAGATTTTAAAATAACCGCACAATTCCGTTTTGGGGCTTATTCATCACTATCTGCCATCCTGTGCATTAGGCATGCCTGAAATATTACTACCTAGAACTGGGATGGATACTGTCATGCTGGGTCAATGTGTGTAAACAGAAATGACTTTAGGAATCTGGGGTATACAATCACCCCACACAGGAGCCCATGACAAAGAACAAAAGCAGCAGGGCAGGCACAGCATCTCAGAAGGCAGAAGCAGGGTCAGGAGGTTAGAGGCTCAGCAGTGCCTGCAGTTATCACAGGGAATTCCAAAACGCTGTGGACAGTGTTTGCGCTTATGCAAAATGGCCTGAAATCCTCGCTGCATAACTTTACCGGACCAGACTAAAGGAAACGCCACGAGTGAGCTACTGAATCCCCAGCCAAAATGATGCAGGTGCTGGGACAGGGCAGAAGCAGGTTGGGGTACAAGGAACTGCTAAAAGGACCATTTCCCCAAAGCCCCGTTCTCAGTGGAATGGACCATATGGTACCTGGCGCAGAGGGGGGCTCGGGATTCTGCAACCCAAGAAAGACTGAACAAGGAACAGAGGAAGGAAAGAGCCTGGCTTGAACTCAGCTCGTGCCAGAGAGTTCTGTGTGAGCAATAAGAAGCTGGCCTGGTTAAGCATAGGGGCCCAAGCTCCTTACAGTTCTGACCTATGACTTCAAGGGACAGAGTTCCCAGTCTATAACTACAGGAAACACACCTGAAGGTTTTTGTTGTTGTTTTGTTTTTTTTAGCAAAGCTCAAAAAGGAATCAGTTACACTTTCATTCGACTGTTATGTGAGGACTCTGGATTCAAACGTCTGCAGTACATTATCGTGATAATTACTTTCTGGGACTTCTCTGGATTTTAATTCCAGAATGGAGACGGCAATAAACACGATAAGTAATAATAACAGGGATATCTGCCTTTGCGCCGGGATTCTGGATTCTGCGTCTGGAAAGTCTTGGAGACTCGGCCCCAGCAGCAGTCGGGTTGGAGTATAAGGCAGGCTCGATGGGGTGGGGGATGGGAGGCGGCGCTAGACCCGCTGGCGAGCTCGCAGAGGCCTAAGGCTCCATCCTCCCCCCCGCCTCCCCCCCCGCCTCTGAACACAGCGCACTGCCCAGAGTTTCAGGGTTCTCCCCGCACAGCAGAACCCCAACTGCAGGTGTAAAACGCGAATTCTCCACCCGCACTGATTGCTGCCATCCCAATGCCCCAACTGGCGTTAAGACGCTGGCCGGGAAACCAAAATGAGCCGCTGGGGCGGGACAGCAGCCAGGACTCGGACAAGTCACCGCGGAGAAAGCGGGGGACGCAGCGGGGCCGCGACGACGTTACCGTGGGGAAGCGGAGCTGCCTGGCTACTCGAGTTCAGTAAGCGACAAGCACGGATTTGCAGTCCCGTAGCCCGAAGTCCTGAGTGAGTTTAATTCCAAAGGTGGGGAGGAGCTCCACCCAAGGGGGCGTGGAGGGTGGTGGAGGAGGGGCGTGGGGGGCGTGGCAGCGTCGAAGAGGCACGTGAGGGGGCGTAGAGGAGGGGCGTGGCGGAAGGATGGAGAAGGGGGCTGGAAGAGAGGGGAGAGCTTTCCTGCTCATTGAGCCTCTCAGGCCTTGGATTTTCTTTTATTCACGATCCTCGCTGCCACTCAATAGAATAAAAGCTGGTAAAGTTATGTTTTGTTTTATTTTTATTAAATATCTATCTGTTTTTGAGACAGGGTCTCTCTATATAGCTCTGACCCCCTAGAACTTTCTACGCCCCCCCCCCCCACTACCCACCGAATGCTGGGATTAAAAACTTAGTTTTGTTTTTAAATGAGAAAACAGAGGACAATATGGGAAGAAGGAAGGCCCTTCTGTCCTTTGACTTTCATGGATCTGGCCTGTGCTAAAATCCACCAGATGGGTGCATCGACTTAGCTCAAAAAAAAAATCTTACTAGGATAATACTTTTTCTATCAAACATAAATCTACTCTAGGGCAAAATCCGACTCAGTTTCTCCCTCTCCTCTCCTTGTCTCTACCTCCCCGGCCTCTTCTTCATGGAACTCAATTACCTTGAAGTTCTGATCTTTGATGTTGTTCCTCCTCCTGAGGCCTCTGTTTCCTCGGGTTATCTGCTGCCTAAGCTTTCAGAACACAAACCATCCCCTTGTCACCCACCCAGCTGCCGCTGACTAGACTGGGTCAGTCTCCTCAATAGGAGACTTGTCTGTGCTCACGGTATGGGATAGGTCTTCCAAACACAAGATGGCGCCAGAGGCTTGCCATGGAGTTGACACAGGCGTCCAAGGGGCCAGCACACCGTGGGGTAAAAGTCAGTTAGGGACCGTCTCCAAAGTGTTTCTGTGCATCCCATGAGATGCACCTAACCATTCAGAGGCCAAAGAAACTGGTGCTCACGAAATGCCACGACAGTCAGCAGTGTTTGTCACAGTGTTCCCAAAGACGTCTTCATGAGCATCCAAGGACAGCAGCACCGTCCACGGGGCTGGCTCTTCCACAGTGCCTGGCTCTATCAGACCTATAGGACAGCACCATCCTGGGGCCAGAGGGCAGCCAGAATATTGTGTGAAGCTTACTTTGATCCCTCACCAGGGAGAGGACCTAAGGCTGGAGGATCAGCTGAATTGCTCTTTAGGAGCTGCTTCCTGGGGTGTTCAGCACAGGAACTACCATATAAGAGCTTCTTCCATCTTCTTAACAGGATTTTATTTTAAAATATATGTAGATTTTAAAACTATACGGCAATTAGTTCTATAAATAATCAGACCAGAGCTACAGATGTGAGTTACCTGTTCAAAGCATGGACTGTTCTTCCGGAGCTCAGTTTCCAGCACGCACATGGCAGCTCATAACCATCTGGAATTCTAGATGAGGAGGGGTGAGGGAAGACCTGACTCCCTCTTTTGACCTCCGCTGATACCAGGCATGCAAGTGGTACACAGGCGTACATGCAGACAAAACACTCATACACAAAAAATAATACAAAATAAAAATAAACAGACCAAGGCAATTTTATAGGCAATCTTGCCCCAAACAGATTGGGTAAAATTCACTTCTCACGCTGTCAAAGTTGATTTCAGTTCGGAGGCCATGCATGTAATTAAAACATACGCTAATTGCATTAAGATGACAAAAGAGAGCTGAAAGAAACCACAGGATTAAGATAATTAATTAATCAGTGTATTTTGCATGCATCCACAGTGTTCATGGCAAATCTGTGCAGAATGCAGGGTACAAGGAGGCTGGACATCCAAGTGGATGCAGTGGGGACAAGAAGCAGCTGTGATCAGCCAGAGCTTTGACTAGGGCTTCTCTGCCTCTCCTTCCTTGGACTCTCGTTTCAGTTTGTAATCAACCATGGTGGCCTTGACTGTCCTCCTTGAGGACATCTTGAGGACAGATCCTTGGGGGCATCTGTGAATTTGAAAGTCAAGGCTAACTCCTCCACACAAAGAGTGGCTGGAAGCCACTGCAGGAATGCAGCCTAAAGCTTTAAGCACATGTGGCCTCAACCTTATCCTGCTAGTCCACTCGAATCTGTAACTTAATAACATCATGAGGTGCCCCATCCACCAGTCAAGTTCCAACCCCAAGTTTCTGTGATTCTCATAAGGATCCATACCTTCTTCTGATAGAGCCAGGCTAGAACTGACTGCTCCTGGGAGGGCAGCACAGACTCCACCAGCCTCAGAAGGTCTCCTCCAAGCTGGCGGCCAACTCACTATGTCCTCCTCAGGGAGGATGACCCTGAATTTTTGGTTCTTCTCCCCCACCTCCCACGTGTTAATGAGTTTCTTTTTGGGGGAAAACCTTCTGGAGTTAGATAGTGATAATGGTTGCACAGAGTTGTAAATTTATGAAAGACTATGAAGTTATGCGTGCTAAGGAAGTGAAGCTTATGCTATATAAATTGTAATTAAAGTTGAGCTATACAACAGTTGTATTGCTGGGGCAGTCTGTGGGGCCACTGGCACTGGGACTGTGATTTATCCCTACTGCTTTAATTGGCTTGTTGGAGCCCATTCTCTCTAGAGGGAGACCTTGCTTAGCCTAGATATAGCAGGGAGGGCCCTGGTCCCGCCTCAAGTGATGTGACAGACTTTGTAGACTCCCCATGAGAAGCCTTACCCTCTCTGAGGAGTAGATGGGGGGGTTGGAGTGGGGAGAAGGGTGGAGCAGGAGGAAGGAGGGGGAGGGAACTGGGATTAGTATATAAAATGAAAAATACTGTTTTTTAAAGAAAATAAAATTTAAAAAGTTGTAATATACATACACACACACACACATTTGTTTCTCAGATAGGAAAAGTGTCCAGGGCCCCAAGTGATAGACTGAGTCCCAGGGAGAATGTTGTTACTGTAACCAGAATCCAGGATTTACTGTTATCTACTATTTTCAGATGATTCTCAAAACTACCCTTTATTCAGAGAGCTGGCGGTCTGAGAAGACAGTGGGTTAATTAAACTGGATGATTATTTAGTGTTAACATCTTCAGAATCTGCCTTTGACTTCATTTCTAGTTGACAGACTACATGGGGCCGTGGTTCTCAACCTGTGGGCCTCCACCCTCACAGGGTTTGCATATTAGATATTTACATTACGATTCATAACAGTAGCAAATTTACAGTCGTCATGGAGTAGCAATTAAATAATTTTATGATTGGGGGTCACTGATGATTCCTTACGATAGAGGACTGTAGTATAGGGTCAGCCTTAGGAAGGTTGGGAACCACTGACATAGAAAGGGTAGGGAGACAAAGGCAGTGGATCTTTCCTTCAGGTTGGGGGTCAGCTGAGACTAGTGATGTCTGAATCTTTCTCCCTATCGTCCCTTCACTCCTGGCTCCTTCTGTGGATGTGTGGGCCGAGACACTTCTCAAAGTGCAGAGCCAATTAATTCTGCTGGTATCAACCCTGTACCCTTCCGGGCATGTGGGCTGGCAGGAGAAAACAAACCATCAACAGTGTGCACAGTACTACGCCAGTGTGATAACAAGCACATGCCGATTCCTTTTAAAAGAGAAGTGTGTCTCTTTAATGCAGCATATGGTAATGGCCCCAGTCCTTCCCTTTGTCCCTTAACACTGTCACTGAGAGAACAAAATGTCGAAGAAGGATTTTGACTGCATCATGGTCTAATTCACCAACAGCCATTTCTAAATCCCTGGAGATAAACAAAACCTCTTCCCCTGCTATTTTTTAACCTCTTCATTTAAAAAATATTTTATTTTAGATTATATGTCTGTGTGTGTCTTTGTGGAGGTATGTTCACATGAGTGCAGGTGCCCATGGAAGCCAGAAGAAGGTGTTAGATTCCCCTGTAGCTGCAAGTACAGATGGTTGTGAGCCAGTGAGTGTAGGTGTTAGGAAGTGAAGTCTCCTGGGAGAGCAGCCAGTGCTCTTAACCACTGAGTCATCTCTCAGCCCCAGAACATTTTCTTTCTTTCTTTTTTTGGTTTTTTGAGAAAGGGTTTCTTTGTAATTTTGGAGCCTGTCCTGGAACTAGCTCTTGTAGACCAGGCTGGCCTCGAAACCACAGAGATCCGCCTGCCTCTGCCTCCCGAGTGCTGGGATTAAAGGCGTGCGCCACCACTGCCCGACTCCCAGAACATTTCGTATACATATTAAGTCTGTGCTCTTCCCTACTACCCCAAATAATTTCCATCAATGTTGAATTTAATTAGGATAGCATTTTTACAAGTCAGGAGATGCCTTTAATATTTTGATACCTGGTTTTACTCAATAACTTTGAGATGGCAACAGAGTATATTTGAGAATGACACAACTAGTTTTGTTCTTATTTCTGTCTCCTTGTTTTTCCATTACCATCTGAAGAGGCTGTGTGTCTGTGTGTGTGTGTGCGCGCGCGCACGCATCAGTGTTTGCTTGCCTGTGTGTCTGTGCACCATGTGCATGCGCGGTGTCCATGGAGGCCATAGAGGATTTCAGATCCTGCTGGTGACCACAAGCATTGTACAGTGAGAGACGAGCTGGCAAAATCACTAGGCTACACCCAATTTGCAAAGCTTTGGAAACCTGCATTTTGAATAGCCTCTGTCATTCTGTAAACCTTGTGAAACCATAGTGTCCCTCTCTTTTCATAGTGGGATTCATCCCATAATATCGCAGCAGTGTATTAATTGTTGGGTATAGCTGTCAGATGCACTGTTATACTGGATGACTTTTCCTTTGGCCATATAATCTTGATATGTAGAATATATATACAGGGTGCCTTGAATTCTGGAAAAGGCCCTGGAGAAGGAAAATGCTTCTCACTTAGGCATCAGTGGGAACAAAGCCGCCACTTGGGAAGCTGGAAAAAGCCAGGCTCCTGATCCTACACTACCTGCACTACTGGAGTTTCCTTTTGGTCCAGCCACCTTAGATGTTATCTCTAGGGCTAGGAGATTCCAT